ATTCTCCTCACCCCAAGACAAACCAACAGAGCCTCTTTTTTTCTCAGAACACATACGGCCCTGCGGACATACACTGACGTCGATGGCACGCGTGCCGCACTAACAAGAACCGACCACCAGCGCGGCAAGACTGCGCGCGCTCGCCTCAGAAGACATGTTTGTCTGTGTGTCTGTGTGTGTGTGTGTGTGTGTGTGTGTGTGTGTGTGTGTGTGTGTGTGTGTGTGTGTGTGTGTGTGTGTGTGTGTGTGTGTGTGTGTGTGTGTGTGTGTGTGTGATGATGGTTGATTGCTTGTTGCTTGTTCGCTTCTTGCTTGCTTGTTGGCTTGCTTGCTTGGTGACGATGAATGAAATGCCACATCACCATGTCACACCTGTCACTGTCATGTCACTTCTTGCGGAGGACTAGACAGCGTCGGCAAGTAGGTCAATGACGTCACGTGAACTTATCGCAGTCTTGTATCACAATGTGTGCACGAGCGACAAAGGGAGACACTGTGGGGGGAAGAGGCAGGCGGGGGGAGGGGGAGGGGGCAACAGACAACACTTGACAAAACACACACACACACGACAACACACACAGACGACAACACACACAGACACACACAGACACACACAGACACACACACACTTGACAACACACATGTACACATGCACGTACACGCGCAAACACCAGCTATGCACACAACAACGGTTCCACAAGGAGGAGCAGCGATACAAGGCGCGACAACAGCTACAACAACAACACAGCAAGTGGTGGCGACGGTGGCGGCTAGAACGAGGCTGTGCGTGCACGGCCAGGTGTATCTGGCTGGTTTGGCTGGTGGTCCATCACAGCGCGGAAGCTTCTGCAGGTCACGCAATCACGACACATGCACGTAAAGAAGGGTGAGCGAGTGAGTAGGTGAGAGATGCAGGTTTGAGCGAGTGAGTAGTGGAGGGGGAGGGGGATGACAGAAGGACCAGGGGACCGCTTTTGTGCCACGGTGGCCCAGCCAGCATCCGACATATTCAACCATCATGGCTGCGCTTGCACTCATCATCATGCCCCATATGGCACTTACGAGAGGAGATCGACAAAGTAGCGGATCACCTGCACACCGCAGTGCGAGCAGCGCAAGAGCGCAGGCCGTGTTGGCGGCTCCGGGAACTCCTAAGATGGGACAGGCGAGGTGTCGATGATGATGGAAGAACAGGAGGGGAGTAGGGTAAGTGGGAAGGAAGTTCAGAGATTGCAAACACTCAGAGAGAGAGACAGACAGAGAGACAGAGAGAGACAGAGACAGAGAGAGAGTGTGTGTGTGTGAGTGAGTGAGTGAGTGAGAGAGACAGACAGACAGACAGACAGAGAGTGAGAGAGAGACACCACAGACGCACACGCACACTGGTGCAACGTACGCTGTGGCACTCTGGGCAGGTTGTTGCCTCCTGCATGGCACGACTGACGGCGACATCTTGCTGCGACGCCATGACGTGATACGCGGAGGGCGACCGGTCTCGCAACACAGGGGAGCCCTGATAACGATGGCCGTGGTGGCAATGATGGTGAGGTAATGAATGATGTAGAGGCTGTTGCAGCCTCATGTAAAACAGAATAGCACACACAAACACACATACATACACAAACGTGCGCGCAACACAGACAGACAGACAGACACACACACACACACACATACACAACGCACACAGGCATACATACATACACACACACACAGACATACACACAAACACACACAAACAAACACACACACACACACCTCTGCCTTGTTGACGCGAACGGTGCGCGAACGCTTGGCGCCCTCGCGCTTCTGCTGCTGCAGGCGGTGCATGGGCACGGGACCGTACATCTGCAGCGCCCGCACCCACGTGTCCCGCGCCGCAATGATGACAAGCGTCTCGTGCGTTAGCTTCTCCAGCGGGTCGGCCTTGGGCGGCACGGCCTCGTACAGGATAGCAAGGCCAATCCCCGTGAGGAGAAAGCGAATGGCACTCGGATGGGGATCGCCAAACACAACGCCACGGTGGCCGTGGCACAGCGTCACAAAGTCGCGCTCGTATATCTCCATGATGGAGGCGACGAGGTCGCTGCAGTCCTTGCGAAACTGCTCGTCGTTGAGTGCGTTGCCCTGCGACGGCTCCAGCGCGCCCGGCTTTGGGATGTGTGCGCGGTGCACGAGGGAGAGGATGTGGCGACGAAGACGAGGGTCGGAGAGCCTGCTGGTCACAAACGCGGCTGCATCCTCTGTCCGCTTGGCGAGGAACGCGCTGATGGCCTCTTCTTTGATGCGTCGCACTTCAACAGCAGGCAGCGTCGTCTCCTCCGACTCGGCCACCGTCGTGAAACTGCCGTGCTGCCGCCGCCCGCGCGTGCGCGCATGCCGCGCGTCGTGCACACGAGCAAATCGCCCGCCGCCGCCGCCGCCGCTGCTGCTGCTGCTGCTGTGGCCATCGCCAGGGCGCAGATGGCCTTCGTCGTGGGACTGCTGCCCACCATCGCCATTATGGGACGACGACGATGCCGCAGACCCGCGCGAACGCGACCCGGCCTCCGAGACGTCCGAGAAGCTGAGCGTTGGCTGTGAGCTGCGCCGTCGCTGCTGCTGCTGTTGTTGACGCTGCTGCCCTTGCCCTCCTGGGTAGGGTGGTGGCGCGTGCTTGAGTCGGGCCGGCTGCTGCTGCTGCTGCTGTTGATGATGCTGATGATGCTGTTGTTGTTGCTGTTGCTGTTGTTGTTGTTGTTGTTGTTGTTGTTGTTGTTGTTGTTGTTGTTGTTGTTGTTGTTGTTGTTGTTGTTGTTGTTGTTGTTGTTGTTGTTGTTGTTGTTGTTGGTGGTGGTGGTGGTGGTGGTGGTGGTGGGAATGCTGCGCTGCTACCGATGACGGTGGGGGCCGCAACTGCGGCGATGACGAGCCCGTGGCGAGCGGGGATGATGAGCGCGGCGCACTGACGGTTGCTGCATGGACGTGACGCGGGGCGGCTTGTGGCAACGCATCTGCAGAGGGCGCAGGTGCGTCCGAGAGGCGCTGTCGTGTCCCCGGCTGTCCCTCCCCAGTTCCAGAGCTCGCCTGCTGCTGGTGCTGCTGATGGTGCTGCTGATGGTGGTGGTCATGGGATGAGGCGGGGTGGAAGCTGCTGCCGTTACCAAAGCTGTTGCGGTCGTTGGGCCTGAGGATCGGCTCTGAAAAGCGCTGCTGCGATTTGAAGTGGTGCTCCTGCTCCAGCCGCTGCTGATGCTGATATGCCAGGCTCGTGCTGATGGTGTAGGTGACGCGCTCGTCGGCCGCCAGCAAGGCTCGCACCTCTGCCAGCGTGGCTGCACGGTGCATGCTCGCCGTTACTGTGCTTGGTGCTCAATCGCGTGCACGTCAAACTATGTTGCCGTGGCCGGGAAAGAAACAGAGACGGAGAGAGGGGGGAGGAGAGAGGTGACGCAGCTCCAACGCGATGCGCAACGTGGTCACGTATGATGGCGTGGCGACGGCGGGGAAGCGAACCTGCGAACCTGCGAATCTGTAGCAGCGCTATTGGAGCGTTGTGAAGCACGGGCTGTGCTGACGTGAAGTGACGTCGCGAGCGAGCAAGCAAGCAGTGGAAACAAGTGACACCGGTCTGCAGGAGCGTGTACGAACAGCAGTGGTGCACGGGGGGTGTGAGTCGTAGTTGTTCTCAAAACGTGGTGGTCAAAGTATTCAAGGCAGGCATGCACAACAGGTCGCTGAACACCACCAGGACCAGATGTTGTTGGAAAGGAACAAAGCAGACAGGGCAAATTGACATGGAAAGAGTTGAAGTGGTGAAGGGCAAAAAACAGCCAACCCAATCAAACCCAACAACCACACCACACCACACCACGAGCAAGCAAGTCACCACAAGACAAGACACGACGATGGGGCAAGGCAACACGAAGGCAAGCCGAGACAAGGTTCCACAACACCCACCAACGTTCGTTCCGCTGCCTGGCTGGTTGCCTGTTTTGCTTCCGCTCCTCTTTGCTTTTTGTGGTGTTGCTGTTTTTTTTTTTGTTTTTCTTTTGTCTCTTTGTTGTGATGGCGATTATTAGTTATATCTTTATTGAATGCTCACAGCTGATGAGTCACCGTCGGTGCATTTCTGCTGGCTGGTTGCCTGCTGATCTGATTTTGATTTGCACTCTCCACCACCACGCAAAGCAACGACAAGCAGCGCATACGAACGACCTTCCCTGACACCCCAGAAGAAGCAAGCTTGAAGCAAACGGCGCACCCCAGACAGCGATGTGCTCCATCACGAGCTGCCTCTCATCGGTGCGTTGTGGTGTAGAGGGGTTCTATGGTGGGGTGGTGGGCGTGTCTGTACATTTCACCCAGCTCACGCTCACGCATCGTGCATCACGCGACATCATGTCAACGACACAAACAACAACATGTTGGGTTGGCTGACATTGTTCTTCTTGTCTTTGTTTTGTGTATGACGTGTTGGGCTGGCATAGGCGGCGTGCTGCCTGTGCTCGTCGTCGTGTGGACGATGCGGGTCTGCAACCATGACGCGTGTCGGCTACGCTCTCCTCTTGTTGCTCTCCGCTGTTTGTGGTTGGATCTTCCTCAACCCAAAAGTCTCCTCCGACCTCCAGAAGGTGTGTGTGTGTGTGTGCGTGTGTGTGTGCGTGTGTGTGCGTGTGTGTGTGTGCGTGTGACAGGTGTGCGGCGGTGCGTGCACTTAATGTTGTGGCTCAACAGAGTGCTCACCTTACTCGCCATCCTCTGCCAATAGATGGACAAGTATGTTGGTCACATCTGCAAGGGCAACGAAAACTGCGGTGAGTTTTTGATTCTGTGGTTGTACTTTGGAAAGCACAGAGCTGATGATCATAAGTCGTGAGCGCCGTTGCATTGTGGTTCTTGTTGTCGTTTGTTGCTGGTTGCCTGTTGCTCCTTGTTGCTGACCGCCGCCACAGGTGCTGTTGAAGGCTCACGCCACGTGTTTTGTCGACTCCATGAATGATAATGCAGATCGCCGCTGGGGTGAGCTTGGCGTGTATCGTGTCCTCACGGCCACCGCCGTCTTCCATGCCCTCATGGCCCTCATCCTCATTGGCGTCAAGTCGAGCCGCGATCCACGCGCCGCAATCCACAAGGGGTGCGTGTTTTCTCTTTTCGTATGTATGTGTACGTGTGTGTGTGTGTGTGTGTGTGTGTGTGTGTGTGTGTGTGTGTGTGTGTGTGTGTGTGTGTGTGTGTGTGTGTGTGTGTGTGTGTGTGTACTGGTGCTGTTCGGCCTTTTGTCTCCTTCTCCTCCACCTCATTGCTTTGATTGCGGTTTGCGTGGTCGCTTAAACGCGCGTATCTTCTCTTTGTCCCCATTCCCATGCATCAACAGCTTCTGGCCTGTGAAGCTCCTGCTGCTGATTGCACTCGCCACTGGCGCCTTCTTTATCCCCAACGGCGTCTTCATGGGTGCGCCGCGTGCTTTGTTTATGCTTTCTTGCTTTGTTTGGTTGCTTTGTTTGTTTGCTCTGTTTTCGTGCGTGCGTGTGTTTGCTCTGTTTTCGTGCGTGCGTTTGTTTGCTCTGTTTGTGTGTGTGTGTGTGTGTGTGTGTGCGTGCGTGCGTGTGTGTGTGTGTGTGTGTGTGTGTGTGTGTGTGTGTGTGTGTGTGTGAGTTCGTTGTGTTTGCAACGCATGGCGCTCACGCTACTTCCAATGCACAAATGTATCCGTGTGCACACATCCACCGTCATCCCTTCTCCCGACTGTCAGACCTTGGCTGGGTTGCGCTTGTGTGCGGGTTCCTGTTCATCATTGTGCAGATGGTGCTGCTTGTGGACTTTGCCTACTCCTGGAACGAGGCCTGGCTCGGCCGCATGGAGGACGGAAGCTCGTGCTACAAGTGGGGTGCGTTGACACTGATGTGTGTGGCGGCGGTGATATGTGTGTGTGTGTGTGTGTGTGTGTGTGTGTGTGTGTGTGTGTGTGTGTGTGTGTGTGTGTAGCGCAAAGAGCCTTGCCATACCTTTGATCGATTGATGCGGTTATGGAAGTATATGTGGTTATGTCGTTTCCTACGGTGGCCGACGGAACTTCGCCTTAGTCAGCCATCGGGTATAGCAGGACAGGCGGCACGATTGTGTCACACAATGAGAATATGCCAGCCAGATATGTAGAATCATTACTCAAAGCCGAGTAATAAGGTGAAGACGTATATAATATCCCCTCCAACATTACAAAACGTCCTACTACGCGAGGCTGCCGAAGGAGGATATAGGCTGCCAGTAACCTTTAGTCACCTTGGACTGAACGCGGTGTGTGTGTGTGTGTGTGTGTGTGTGTGTGTGTGTGTGTGTGTGTGTGTGTGTGTGTGTGTGTGTGCAACGCGTGCTCCCTCCTCACGCCATTGTCGTGATCACCACGTCACCCATTCTCCCCGGGTCTTGTTATCTAGGCCTCATCACGTGCTCGTTTGGCGCATACGCCATCGCCATCGCCATCACCGTCTGCTGCTTCGTCTTCTACACCCAGGTCCGGTCACCACGGTGTTGCTGTTGTTGTTGTTGTTGTTGTTGTTGTTGTTGTTGTTGTTGTTGCTGTTGTTGTTGTTGTTGTTGTTGTTGTTGTTGTTGTTGTTGTTGTTGTTGGTCGTCGTCGTCGTCTCTTGTGTGCACGTGCGATTTATCTGACTGAGTGCACCAGACATCATCTTCCATGTGTGCCGTTCCTCTCACATGTCTAACTTCCACTTCCACACCGTTGTTGAAATGCTCGCTTGTTGTGCGTGCACAGGCTGACAACAACCCGTGCACGCTCAGCAAGACAGCGCTTGGTGTCAACATTGGCCTTTCCCTCATCATGACGTTCTTCGCCCTACACCCCCGCGTCCAAGAAGGTGGGGCATGCTTGCTTCGTGGTCCCTGACGTTTGCCGTGTAGCAGCCCTCTGTTTCGTCCAACGACCACCACCACAACGACGACGATGACGACGACGACCACCACCACCACCATGTTATCCTCCACTTTCTGACCATCTCACCTCTTCATCTCTCTCTCTCTATCACACACACACACACACACACGCACGTACGCACGCACGCACGCACACACAACGACAGCACAACCGACGTCTGGCCTGCTGCAGGCCGGCATCATGTCCTTCTACACCACGTACCTCGTCTGGTCTGCCGTCTCAAACGTCGATGGTGCGTTGCTGGTGTGTGTGTTTGTGTGTGTTTGGCCTGGCACTCGTCCTCCATACCTCCAATCTCCTCACCACTACAACCACCACTACAACCACCACAACGTCCATCGCCACCACCACCAACCAGAGCCGTGCGGTATGGGTGTGAAGCCCGATACGACGGCAACGGTCGTTGGCGCCATCCTCACCTTTCTTGCTGTCGCGTACAGCAGCATGCGCACGTCCTCTGCGTCGCAGCTGGGCAAGCTGGGCATGCAGCAGGACGCGAGCGAGCGCGAGAGCCTGATCCTCTCCGACGTGGAGAGCGGTGGCGGCGATGATGACGACAGCAGCGGTGGCGGCTGTGCTGGCGGCGATGACGAGGCTGACGGTGTCAAGTACAGCTGGTCGTTCTTCCACCTCACCTTCATGATGGCCGCCTTCTATCTCATGATGGTCATCACAGACTGGGCAAACATCAGGTGTGTGTGTGTGTGTGTGCGTTGTGGCGTGCGTTGGGATAAGGGTGTGCGTCTCTGCGGCTGCTGTTTCGTCTTGTGTTTCAGCTGCGCCTTCAATTGCTTAATTGTCCGGTGCAATTGAGGTTCCACTCTTTTTCTGCTTTATACTGTATCCCCTTCCATCTATGCCGGCCCTGCTTTTTCGCTGCCTCCTCCCCCCCCCCTCCCTTACGCCCCCTCCCCTTTGCCATTTGCACGTGCATCGTAGGGACGGGCACACCGCCAACGAGAAGGTTGGCAACGGCCTTGCATCAGTCTGGATCCAGATTGCCTCATCCTGGGTCGTTGCGGTGAGTGCATGGCATGACCTGTGTCTCTGTCTCTCTGTCGTGCCTCTGCCTCTCTGTCTCTTGGCACTGTCTTGTTGTCTCGTTCTACCTCAATGGCGTGCGTGCCTCGGTTTGCTTGGACCAATCTATGCGCTGTTGTCTTTGTGTTCTCCAATCACGTTCCGCGCTGCATGTGTCTTGTTCGTTCTCCTCATGCCATTGTCACCATCTCCTCATGCCATCGCCGCCACCACCACTGCATTGCACTGCACGTGTTGCCAGCTCCTGTACATCTGGACGCTGATTGCGCCCCTCTGTCTGCCAAACCGCGACTTCAGCTAAGTGCATTCGCGCAAGCACGTCATGTGCATTCAAAGTGCTGTGCGCACGCTTGCGCCTCGTGCGTAAATGTTGGCACGTCGTTTCTTGGTTCACACCCCTCCCCAATCTCTTATGCACCCCATTGTTGTTCCCCTTACCGGTCTGTTGCCTGCCTCAATCTTTCTTTCGATGCTTTCCCTTTTTCTCTCTGCACACACTGCATTGTTTTGACATGTCATCAGTTATATTGCATGAAGCACACACACACACACACACACACACACACACACACACACACACACACACACACATTCATAACAAACACGCACACAACCGGAAACACACGAGCACACATGCACGCACATCCCCTTACAACCAACACACAAATAAATGAAAGTTGCGCACAACAGGAGAGATGGTGAGGGATAAGAAAGAAAGAGCGAGGGAAGGGAGGTTGCTGCGACACAACACGCACGGCGCGCTAGCAGCGAGAATAACCAGAGGACACAGGAGGTAACCACACATAAATGACAGACGGGGTGCTGTGGAAACACGGACGCAGTGGGTCAGAGGGGGATACACACAATGGAAGCACGACGATGCCAGCCGTCGGCCAAACTGACAGAGCGCTAACATGCCAAAGCAAACACAAAAGGCGCTCACATCACAAACGCACACGCAGACACGGAAAATAACGTGCACATGTGAACATTTACCTGCGTGCAGGGTTGAGAAACCGAACACGTACACACCTCACACGCCATCCATCCATCCATCCATCCATCGGTCATCACCACCACCCTCCTTGATCATCATCGTCATCATCATCATCATCATCATCATCATCATCATCATCATCATCATCATCATCATCAGCAGCAGCAGCAGCAGCAGCAGCAGCAGCATCACTTGAGCCTGGCAGTTCTGCTGGACGAAGCCTTGCGTGCTAGCACATCCAAATCAGACGTGCGCGGGGCGGGTTGCGCTTGCAGTGGCGGCAGCATGCTCGGGGACGGGCGAAGGCGACTTCTGAAACTCGGCACGACAGACACACCCTGTCGCCTGCCGAGGGAACAAGACGCAAGGACATGGGGGGGGGGAGAGAAAGGGGGAGGTGAGCGACATGTGCGAAAGAGCGTGGAGGTGGTGCTGGTGCAGGTGAATGGAAGACAATCCCCACCCTAACTTGGGAAGCGCTGGCGCGCACGCACGCACACACACGCACACACACACACACACACACACACACACACACACACACACACACACACACACACACACACACACACACACACACACACACACACACACACACACACACACGAACAAAGAAAACAACGTGTGGCTCAGCGCAGTGTCACGTCACGTACTTGAACGTTGGCTTCTTGTACTTTGCAGAGTGCGGTGGGCGCTGCTGCGGACGCAGATGGGCGCCTTTCTTTCGTCGGTGATCAAGCACACTCTGCACTCAAACACAGATGGTGGCGGTGGTTGGTCGGTGACGTGTGGGTACGTACAACGACAGTGCGAGTGTGAGTGGGCGAGGCAGACAATCAGCCAGCAGATGGATGGGCAGGCAAACGGACTGCCAGACAGACAGAGCATCCCATGTAAACGCACACACACATACATACATACATACATACATACATACATACATACATACATACATACATACATACATACATACATACATACATACATACATACATACATACATACATACATACATACATACATACATACATACATACATACATACATTCATACACACATACATACATACACACATACATACATACATACATACATACATACATACATACATACATACATACATACACACACACCTTCCAGTTGTTGAGGAATTGGCGCATGGTTGGGGTGACCTCGCGGCCATCGAGCATGCGAAGCGACTGCACCATCACAACAATCTAACACAGCAGCATATGCAGACGCGCATCAGCGTTCATGAGTGCAGAAAGGGAAGCGTGCACCCGCCTTGACATTCACCTTGCGCAGCAACCAAACAAGCGCAGATGAACACCCGCACACACACACACACCTCCTCGCGGTATTTGCTGAGAAGACAAAATGGGTTGCCGTTGACGTTGAGCGTGCCGAGGTGACGGCACTTGCCAAACGCCATTTGTATTTGCTGCATCGCGCAAACGCAGGCGCACGCACACACACATTCATGAATACGTATAAGGAAGGCGATCAGGGCGATGGCAGTTCACAGCAGAGGGCCCTTACATCAGAGCATGCACACACTCACATGCGTACACATGCATACACATGCACATACGCCCACATGCACAGCACCCACACTACCACCACCACCACCAACAACAACAGTAACAGACATGACAGCACACCCCTTCCCGTTGCACACAAGGCAAGCAGCAGCGCACATTAAGGTCGGTGAGTTTGTTGTGTGAGACGTCGACCGTCTTGAGCCCATCAAAGCCCACAAACTCGGACAGGTCGTCAAGGTTGTTTCCCGCCAGATTGAGGTGCCGCACAGACCGCTGCAGTCGTGGTGTCAACACACGTGTGAGTGAGTGTGTGTGTGAGTGTGTGTGTGTGTGGTGTTATGAAAGAGCGTGCAAGGACGCCACCGCCACTGTTGTAGATTCGGTCACTCGGTCCTAACATGGTGCCTGGAAACACAACACACACGCACACGTCACAGACATGCACACAGCAAAAAGTGTACGGAAGCTACGCACCCGCAAGCTGAGAGCGGTTCGCGGGTCCACCAGCAACTTCTCGCCAGGCGGCAACTGCTGGTACTCAATGTGTAACTCCTTGAGGTTGGGAAGGTCGTGCAGGCCCTCCAACACAATCAACTTGTTCCTGCCAATAAATCTGCGCATGTGTGTGTGTGTGTGTGTGTGTGTGTGTGTGTGTGTGTGTGTGTGTGTGTGTGTGTGTGTGTGTGTGTGTGTGTGAGCGCGCGGGGTTTGGTTGTTGCTGCGACACCCTGTACACACACACACACACAACACAAAAACGGGGGAAACTCACAGTTTCGTGAGATGTCTGAGGCGGTTGACGCCCTCTAATCTCTCAATGGCATTGTCCTGGAGGTAGAGGTGTGTGAGGTGGGTGCAGCTGTTGAGGTTTGTGATCTTGCTGATCCGGTTCTCGTACAGATACAGGGTCAGCAGCTTGTGGCATGCGTTGATGTTATCCTGGATGGACACGGTAAGCGCATTAGTGTTTGGGGGGTGAGTGAAAGGTCGCATTGCAGCTGCGCCATCGGTAACCTCCAGCAAGCGCACCAAACGCAAAGAGCAAGCACTGCTCAGCCGTTGTGCACCAATACTACGCGCCTCAAAGAAAGCGATCATGGCAAACTGTGAATATGTACACACATTCACACACACACACACACGCATGCATACACACGCAAACATGCATACACACGCACACACACAAGCATGCATACACACACACACACACACAAGCATACACACACGCACACACACACGCACAAACATGCATACACATGCACATACACAACGATGACATACGAGGGCAAGCAGGTGCTTCCGGGTGAGATCGAGATGGGTGATGCGAGCAACAAAGTCCTGGACGCTCTCGTCCTTGCGTTGCCGCTGCTTCTTGCTGCCACGCGCAGCAATCAGCTCCAACGTTGGAGCCGTCGGCATGGCGAAGGTGCCGTTTGTACTGCTTCTGGTGTGTCTCTGGGCGAGTGTTGCGTGTCACCACTGCTGACACCGTTCTCGGCAACTGCTGATGTGTTGCGCCGATGCCGCTGTTGGCTTTTTGCTTTCTGCGTGCTGGGATTGGCCGGCCCAGAGCATAACACACACACACACTCACACACACACACTCACACACACACACACGCGCACACACACACACACACACTCACTCGCACACACTCACTCGCACACACTGTCGCTCTCAGTCACTCAGCGACTCGCTGCTTGCTCTCAGTCAAGTCACCGCTGTCGTGCTCGCTGTTGTTTGGTTTGCTTTGTGCTCGCCTGCCTTGATCTGTGTCCGATATCCTGGGTTGTCATGGATTCCCCAATGCGCACTTTTTGTTGACGATTGTGTGCGAAACATATATTGCGCACACCGCCCTGCGGTATCTTCAGCTATTTTTCCATTGGAAGAATTGTGTGTGGCTTTCTTCACGCAAAATTCGCCTGCGCTCGCGTGCAGCTGCCTTTTTCTCCACAGCGGCCACCCATGTGAGTGAACACCGCGAGCGGAGATGGGGTGGATATGGGAGGGTGGTCGGTGCACGAGGGTGTCTGTGTGTGTCTCTGTGTGTGTCTCTGTGTGTGTCTCTGTGTGTGTCTCTGTCTGTCTGTGCGTGTGTCTCTGTGTGTGATGGTGATGTGTGCAACACAAGAGCACAGACGCACACACATATATGCATCGTACATGAGCGGCGCGGCACATCCACAACAGCCACCACAACGCACGCGAGATGAACGATGGCATGACAGACGATGATGATGGTGGCTGCTGCTGCTGCTGCTGATGATGATGATGATGATGATGATGATGATGATGATGATGATGATGACCATCGCTTGGTTGATGCTGGATGTGCTGTGACGGACACGGTGTGCGCCTTGTTTGCCGTGATGGACACCGACGACCGTGATAACCACACACGAGGATTGATTGTTGGTGGGCCTGCCACGTGCCAGCATATCCTGTGTCAGCAACAGCCGGGCGTGTGCCGCACATACACAGCAGGTGTGCGGCTGTCGATGGTTCAGCAACAGCAACAGCAACAGCAGCATTGCAGAGGGGAGGCGCACATTTCAGCAGCTTCAAGCCACAACAACCATCCCAACACGTGCAGCAACGCACCGCGCACATGCGCTCTTCCACATTTCATTCACCAATTCGATTGTGTCATGCACACTCGCGCAGACATCCGACTCACCGACTCACGTGCATGCGGTGGCTCTCGTTCCCTTTTTGCCTCGCTCTCGTCCTTTCTCCCTTCGTTTGTTCTCTTTCACAGTTTTGCCAGAGGACTCTAAACCGGCACCATGACGAAGGCACACAACAACATGCTGCCAAACGTGCATCTGCACAAGCACTGGCACAACTCCGTCTGGACCTACCGTGGTGTTGTCAAGTGCCACTTCAACCAGGCTGGCAAGAAGCGCCGTCGCTCTCTCAAGCGCCAGTCCGTACGTTCCCTTCACCACAACTTTTATGCGCGTGTGTGTGTGTGTGAGTGGATGGGTCGAGTGTTGTCTGTGTTGTCGTGTGTTCGAGTCCTGTGTGTGTGTGCACGTATTTGCCTTGCAGTTTATGTGCCGTGCCTGCGTGACAAGCGCTCACGGTACGGTGGCTCGTGTGTGCGTTGCTATTCGTTTTGTGAGTGTAGAAGGCCAAGCAGGTTGCACCCCGCCCCACCGGTGGTGCTCTGCGCCCCATCGCCCGCTGCCAGACGTTCAAGTACAACATGCGTCTCCGTGCCGGCCGTGGCTTCACCCCCCTCGAGCTTAAGGTGTGTGCCGGTCATTGATGTGGTAGGCGGTGTGTGTTGTGGTACATGTGGGTTGTTATTGGGCTGCGTGGTACTTGTGTTATTATCCACTCTGTCTTGTTGACATGTGTTGTGGTAGCTGTTTGTGTGGGGTGTGTGCGTTTCGTGTTGTGTTCGGTTCTGGGTGTGCTGCTTGTGTCGTGCATTCCCTCACAATGAGGATGGTCAACGCGTTCCGTGTCTTTCTTTGTTGTTGTTGGGGCGTCAACAGGAGGCTGGTCTGAGCACCCGCTATGCGCAGACTGTGGGCATCTCGGTGGACAAGCGCCGCAAGAACCGCTCTGTTGAGGCTTTCCAGGCCAACGTTGCCCGCCTCAAGGAGTACAAGAGCAAGCTCGTTGTCATCCGCAAGGGCGGCAAGGACCAGCATGCCGTGGAGCAGCTCAAGGGTGTTGTCATGCCTATTGTGCAGCCCAAGCACAAGATCCAGGTCCGCGCCATCACAGAGGTCAGTCAACTATTTTCCCCACATTGCTCTTGCTCTGTCTTGCTGGTTGTGTTCTTGTCGTGGTTATGGATGTGAGATGGTGAGGCGTTGCGTGTGTCGTGGGTGTGGTCTGTCTGTGTACATGGGTGGCGTCGTGTGTGCTTGTGCGTGTGCATTTGTGTGTTGGGAATGCACTCCTGTTCCTGGGTCCACCACCACCACCACCACTGTTTTTGTTTGTCTCACGGTTGTGCGCGTGCTCGGTGTGTGTGGTGTTGTTGTTGTTGTTTGCGCATCCCCCCTTTTTGCAGAAGGAGAGGAAACGCAATGTGTTCGCGGAGATGCGCCACATGCGCGCCGACGCCAAGCTCGCTGGTATCCGTCTCAAGGTTGCTGCCGAGGCTGCGGCAGAGGCTGCCATGAAGAAGAAGAAGTAAACGCAACAAACGCCAGCTTGTGCTCGCTCGTCTTGTTTGTTTCTACTCTCTTCTTTTCTTTACACCTCTGGTGCCCTGTCTGTCTCCTCGCATGGTTGTCTGCTGCTCCCCCCTTTGTCAAATGCTTTCGCGTACGCCTCCCCAGTACAGCCAAAGCTTAACCATAACCTCTGATGATGGGATCTGATGTTGGAAAGAAAAGGGTGTTGTTGTGTGGAGTGTGATGAACGATGATAGAAAGGGCAATGTGCGAGTGTCACAACGTGGGTAACACGCGATTGAACCGACATGAATGCTTCTGCGTACAAACACACACGGATGATTATGCGTACAGAAGACATACCGCAGCTCACCATTCTCTCGCAGGATCAAACATTGGTTTACATTTCTTTTAGTGTGGTTGTTGATACTCAAGATTGAGTTTGACAGCAGGAGGGCGCGAACGCCACACCTGCCTGGGCAAAAATTGCCACGTTGAGACACCACATTCGTGATGTTCAGTCAGGTCAAGCTGGGCCGCGTGCAATGCCCAACTCTCGCCAACCCCGCAGCTGCTGCGTGATCCAGCATGCGAGACGTGCAGGTAAGTATGCCTGCATTTAATGTCCTTCCGGCATATCAGAAAATTCATCCAGTTTGCACACTTGTGGGTTTCGACAAATAAAAAATGTGACATCAATTTTTTTAATTCTTCGGTTTTTTTTTTTTTGTGTGGGCGAACAACACCACGAACGACCGCGACCACCACCACAAACGACAACAAACGAGCACGACCACAAGACACAATACAATGAGCGTGGCCGCATCACATCACATCACATCACATCACAGCCCCTTTCAATCACTCCCACTTTTCTTCTCGGCGGCCTTCTTCTCCAGCACAGTCTGGAACCACTGCGGCCCAACGGGCGAGTCCTTGGTGCGTGCGGTGAGCACCTCCACCCCAGTCTCTGTAATGAGCAGCGTGTGCTCAAACTGCGCCGACCGCTTGCCGTCAATCGTCGTCGACGTCCACTTGTCCGGCCACGTCTGATCCTGCCACGTCCCTGCGATGGTGCGCACGAAGTGCGTGTGTGCAGTTGGAGGGGAGGAGGAGGAGGATATATGTATGGTGAGTCGGGCATGTGTATTCGTGGGGAAGGCTCAAGCCGACCGTGACTGGCAATGCCTGCTCGCCCATCAGCTGCGTGCTTTCACGCATATTCACACCCATGCACACGCACTCTTTCTCTTACCCAAGTTGATCATGGGCTCAATGGTAAACACGTGCCCGGGCTTCATAATGCCAACTGCCTTGTTCTCTGCAGTGATGAAACACAATAAACACATGCACAGGCAAAGTATTAGCAGAGGAAGAAGAAAAGGGGGGGGGGGCAAAGATGGACAATCACAAGAGAAAGAAGGAAGGATAACATGCAGGGTGGGTTGATGCCAATGAACACACACACACACACGCGCGCACACACACAATGCATGCACG